TTTTCATGGTCTCAGTGCCATGAAAAAGACCTGAAAAATCCCATGAAAAACCAGTGAACATTTACATATTCATGACCCATATGATGTACCCAGGCCTGGGTACATCATATGCTCATGTATAAGAATGTAGTCATTTCAGATCTGTACCTTACATCCAGTGGCTGTCATAACCAGTTCTTCTGCTGTAAGCTCATCACTTTCTTGTGGAAAATCCATATTGTTGTTACTGCCACAAGCTGATCTTGCATCTTTCCTTTTTCCTTTTCCTTTGGGTTTACCCTCTTTTTTGGTGGCTGCAAGTTGTGTTTTCATGGGCTACAATTTGTGAGTTATAGTTAGCATGTAAAATGCTCAGACAGGATGTTATACAGATGTGTGTGACGAGGAAATTCATTTTGGGGAAATTTAGTATCGGGCATTAATTTAGTATAAACAACTGAACAGTAAAGACAAGTACAGAGTTTACAGAAATTTGACAATAAAAACTTTCTGAGACTTTCCTGATTTTTTTGTAATTTTAACTGCTTTTCTGGTCTATTGTGGGCTATCTATCTTTGGTTTTCAGGCTAGTTTTTTTTTGCTACATCTCCCTTCAGACTTGCAGCATAATCTGTCTATAATTCCTTATATAATTACTTAACATAACATATACTTGTACTCACCATTGAGGCAGCAGATACTCTATCATTGTGTTTTATCCAACCAGGTTCAGTACTGTTGTCACTTATATGTCTTACAGATGAATAATGTTCTCCATTATGATAAGAGACATGCAGCTCTCGAACTTGTCCATTCTTGCTGTATTCCTCTCCATAAATTACCCATCTGGGTTCATTGAGCTGATGTATGACAACATTGACTCCATGGTTGCGTGCAAATGCCACAATGCTGTCGTTCCCCCCATATGTGCTTAGTTTGGATAGCTCCTGTACTGTAAGCAAAAATTCACCCAGTCCACAAGTCACACATCAAATAAAAACATAATACTAAATTTAAGTTGTTAATTACCTTTCAATAACTCCTAAGAATCAGACTAGCATCTAATTTCTCCATACAATATTACCCCTGAATCAATCATAAAGGTCATGATAATAAAGGAAATGATCAACAACTAAAACAGTTCTTTTTTAAAACAAATTCTCACTGCCAGCACCTTAATAAATGTATAGTGAGTAGTATGGAGAATATGCATACTGATATTGGGGTTAATATAGGGTTAAACAACCTCTTAATAATTTTGAGTATTCTCATCAACTGTTTATAGTGGATATGGATATTTTACAGAGAAGTTACATGTTAATTACTTATGGAAGTAAATTATAGTGTTATTATTAATAATAATTTCAATCAGTAAGTGAATAATCACACTAATTGTCTTACAATGTTTATCAAATGATATATTGTCTTCCATAAAGGGTTCAAAGTCACTTCTATGATCTCCCATGTATTTAACTGTTTCCCTTCTGTGCCGCATATGTGATGTGTGATCTCCTTCAATTTGATCCCCCAAAGCACGAAACAAGCAATTTCTAGAAAAAAAGACAAACAAAATGTTACTCATTGCCTTATATGGGAGTGGAAAAAGAAACAGAGAAAACACTTATTTAAAAAAGTTAAGAGCTTGGGAAATTTTCACTTCACAGTCTCTTTGGAGAGGCGAGAGAGTGCTCCCATCAACCTATTTGGGAAAATGTCATACTTCTATTACAAATGTTCACCTGTAAATAAACTTTTGTTTCTACTGCTACAACTGCCCCTGCCCATGCACATACAATAAACGCTATGAAAATGCGGAACGAAAAACACATTTTCTAGGTACTAATTCGGATGTGTGACTTAAATTGGTAAATTCTTGATTGAATTTCCGGTTGTCAAGCCTTTTGTCCTGGTTCATATAAATGAGGAAGAAGAAATCTGAATTTTTCATGTTACAATTATTAGCTACAGAATTTTATCAAGACAACCGAGACCTTGTTTGCCAGACTAAGTTATTAACCACAGGCTTTCACTTTCAATTGTAAACTGAGACTTACCCGTCACCAGGGATGTCCTTTATCTTCAGACTTAATGCAGCAAGTTGATTCGAGAAGCTGACGAAGTCTTCATCATCAGCGAGGTATTCCTTTATTTTTCGTTCCTTCTTTAGAGCGTTTCTTCTCACTCGATCGTCTCGTTTTCTTTCCAAATCGTCCCTACGTTGTCCTTTCGTTTGTTTCTTGCTTGCAACGCCTTTTGTCATGGTTAAGATTGGGACGGATCGATAAGTTACTCAGTGTTCAAAGTTGTTTCTAAACTCCTAGTAGTTTTGAGGCTTCCTTGTTGTTTTTTCACCTCCACACGACTAGGTAGACAATCCATTAAGGGGTGATACTTCTATATAAACTTTCTATAACAACGAAACAACAATGAAAACAACGTGAGGAACTATAAATAGCTTGGACTTTCTCCATGGTTTTGTCAAGGTGGCCGCCATATATTGTTAACCTTGCTCGTTGATGGTGAAATGTTATGCCACAGTTTAGTGAGTATTACAAGAAGGAGATTTTGAATCAGATCATTTACCGATGGTCCGAAACACGCGGGCTCTGTTGAGACTTCGACAAGATCCTCCTGCTGATAAAGGCACTGAAGAGGTCACAAACTGAGCTCAGTTTATAATCTCTTGCAACTTTGGTTTTAAAAGACTCTAGGACAGATATTACGTAAACAACACAAGTCGCTGAATTAAACGAACACCCAAAAAAGAAAAACAATAAAATATAATAAAAAAACATAACATAAAAAACAGCAAGACCAACGATGACACTGGTATCTTTCGATATCTTTCACTCATCATTGGTTTTAAGACGGTAATGAGACATCGATTGTCAACCCTTTACACTGTCTCTGTACTCTCTATACATTTCCTTTAGTCCTGACCAGGAGAATTTGTTTAACGATCTGGATTAAAGTGGGTTAGTTTCAACGGAAGCTGTGGTGCTGCGTCGGTAGGGGGTATTACAAGATAATCTAGTTTTGACTTGATAATGTAAATGGCCACTGTAAGGAGTTTCTAAAACTGACGCTCGTTTCTCCTTCGTCAGAGCACTGGTCTGGTAAGACGCCAAGTTATGCTAAGACACAAGCATCCCGAAAAGAATAAGAAACGATATAAAAGAGTTCTTAAATTTTTCCTTAAAACACATTCACCCTCCTCCCGTATTGTAGTTACAGCTGGTTGTAATCAAAACAAGCACTTCCAATTTTCTTTGTTTTCTTTTCGTGGTTGCTTCTCCCGTGAATTGAAAGTCGTCTCAACTAGAGCGCTGTTTTGAGCGAGTCTGCAACTGATCACACCAAACTCATCAGGGAAAATCATCACCACACTACAGATTGGTTTTTTGTGCTGTTTTGCACAAAATTTATTTTATTTCATTTGCACAAAAATAGCACTTGAATTTATAAAAAAACCCTTTTTTTCTTTTCCACGCATGACTTGAATTCATAATTACGGATATTAACAGGACTTAATAAACATACATCATATATTTAATCCTTTAAATATTGCATTGCATTGACCTTAATCAATAAAATTAACAATTAGCACACGAGCCACTCTTTGGTAATTGTCTCATGTAAGTTGTGCTCAGGTTTCCATTCTTCGTTCGAGGTCGGCGCTTTCAAGTCGATGAAAAGTAAATCAACTTTCTTCTGAAAGACGTCATCTCATCGTGAATTATTCCATTTTCCTCGGTAAAAGGCAGCAAGTGCTGCTGTTTCTGTAAATCGTTTTTGTTATTTGAGGCCAATTACAAAACACACGGTCTTAACACATTGAAATATCTCTCAAATTTTACCCAAAAGTCGCCGAAGACAAAACCTTCTTGGATGCAATTTTCCTCAAAGAGCAATCGAATACTGACGGCGTTCATCCCAATAATGACAAGATTGTCACGCTTGTGACGTTTAAACAGTAATCGCTCCATCATTGTGCGAATCCGCGTGAAAGACTGCGTTGAGATGATCCAAGTCACGTGTATCGACTGCTTTATGGAGGTCAGACCTGCCCATCAGTGACAGAGTCATGCGCAGCGTCGACCAAATGTTGTCAGACATTGTAGAGACTGAGCCCCCTGGTCCAATTGTACCCTGGGTAAAAAGTGGTAATCGAAGAGATTTAAGTTTGTAGATCAATGACACTTCCGTGACGAATACACAAATTCATTTTCTAAATAGTGTTCTGCGAAGTAAGACAACTGTCAAAAGTTTAAATCACGGTATAGGTGAAAAGTTTGGAGCCGAACAGAAACAAAGCGCTGCTTCACATCTTCATAAATTTATGGGTACATTTACTCGTGCCAGTAGTTTTCGGTGATGGCTGAACACGGGAATTACTTTGTGGCATTTCTGCAACTAGAGACGTTGTGACAGACTTCCGGTAGTTTTGAAGGGAATACAAGGCAAATGGCCTTGCCTGGCCTGATTTGGACGACGCATGCGTCTTAAGTTAACAAGTGCCGTAAGAAACGCTTCGCGTCACTAAACAAGATTCTTTTTAGTGAAACCCCAAGCTCAGAGAGAAATTAATATATAACTGCCTTGGCTTGCCGCATTTCAGTTCAAGTAATCTGTATACAATAAAACACTGGCGAGGTTTCCTTTGCTTTTAAAGAGTGCTTCATCTTCCATCTCAACTTTCTTACTCACCACTGACGACTGAAATCGGAGTATCTCTTAATTGGGGATAGACCATACCTTTCTCTGCATATTCAACGCAGTTAGCAGGTGATCCACCGCTTGTCTGTGAGCATTCAAGTTTATACAGCTGATTCCTAAATTGTATCGGCACCGGATAAACCCCGGGCTGAGATTCAGCGCATGTCTGTATGCATCGACTGCTTCCTCGCTGCGCCCGCCGTTCGCCAGCGTGGCGCCTAATCTGTTCCATAGAAGAGCATCATTTGGCAGGGCGTGCAGTCCGGCCTGGAAACAATCGACTGCCTTGTCATACTCCCCAGACAAGTTAAACAAAACGCCGAGACCGACCTGCGAAGGGAGAAGGGAGGAAAAAAAATTCAACTCACCAACTTAAAACAGCATTTAATGTAAGTCGCACGGTCGACAGGGTTGGATCGGTTTCTGAGAATCTACTCTCGCATCATTTAAAGAGTGCAATTAAGAGTTAGGTTAAGCTAGATGGAGGGCTTGAACTCAAGGAAAACTGGGTCGAGTACACAGAAGCGAGGCTTACAGGTAAACTAGTGTACTTGTATGGTCTTGTATAGTTAGATGACACAAGTAAAAGACTTGGAAAGAGTTGGAAAAATTTCTTCGCCTTTTAAAATTTTCTTTCACACGGAAAGTTTACCAGATCCAAACATATTGAACGGATACCAAAGCTTGCCTGTACGTTTGCATCGATATCGTTCACTGGAGCCCTTTGTGCAGCTGTGATATACAAGTCTCTTATCTCATTGTACATCTCCGATGACATAATTGATGACGTCACTAACCGCGACCGCGCACCGGTCTCTGATCCCGCGGGCTCATTAGCCACTAGGTCATTGTACCTGACGATGCAATAACAAAAAACAGTTATTGCCTGGAAATGTAAATTACTCGTGATAGAACGTCACACGCAGATCACAAGCAGATTATTTGGTGCCAGATCCAGGAAAGGATGTCCAGCCTTTTCAAATGAACGTCACCACTTCAATAATCACCCAACAACTCGGCGTTTCACCATTCAAGATAATCTTATTTTTAACAACTGCGTTGATAAAGTAAATCTGCCACCGAAAAGAGTTTCTTAAGCTGACCTTTCACGCGTAAGCCCTGAGTCAGAGCGAATAGGTTCCTCCATAATACCCTCTTCCGATGCAGCACCACAGCTTTTTATCATAGACTGAGTTGATTTTCTTTACTCACCGTGGGTTAGCCTTTAACCAAGCTTTTAAGGTCCGACAGGCCTGCAAAATATATAATAATCGAAAAAGTTATTTAAAAAAAGCCTCTTCTGAGAGAAAAGCTTTGCACAGTAGAAGTCCTCAAAGACCACTTCGAGAGAAGATGATCATATCAAGCCAATCGTAAGGTACTCCGAGCACCTTTAATTGGACTCTGAGAGTAACCCGCCATTATGGTTTTTCTTTAGAGCAATTTTCAATTGAGTATCGAAAGTAATCCGGGTTTGCCTCGTTTTGGTATACTTTACTCTGCGACCGGTTAAGAAAACTCGCGCCACCATCTCAACTAATCAGATACAATACTAAAACCAGTCACGACTTGGTCGTAACTGGTTTTAGCTTTTTCCCGCGCTTTAGGCAGTTTAATTGTTTTTACTTTGAGTTCTCATTGGCTCAAAGGTATTTTCCTTTCTCCTAATTGGCCGTTATGATTTCTGTGGTGTTTCGCAACACTCAACCGAAAAACACTCTGTTACACTCGGTAATTGGTCTGGAAAACTCCTGCTATCCTCTCAAATGCAAGATGCAAACTTAAAACCACTAGCAACTTGGTCACTAGTCTCCCCCGCTGTTCAAAGAGTTTGTTCTCTTTTAACACCGAAATCTCAGGATCACTGTGATATTTTACTCTGTTCTCTTTAACTGTTGCGATAACTTAAGTTTTAAATTTAATACACTCCATCAAAATGCGCCCCTATTTACAGGAAATCTTACCGTATATAACATTACAACGCCGTCCCTTGAGTTCATCAGGGCCATTTTCTAAGTCTAGTCATTCTTGGAAAAGTTGAAGCGAAATTGTTTGCGAGGACAAAAAACAAGGATTTCAACTTCAATAACGCAACACTTTATATTGTAAAACGCTTTGCAGAACGCACCTTGGGAAAACCTTAACCGTAATTTTTCGTCGAATAAATTACGTAGTTACCTGTGATTGCATGGATTCATTGGTGTAACTTACTGCCAGAGCCATAAGCGCTGTCAAATTATCTGGCTGTGATTCGAGGCATCTACAAAGACAAAATGTATTATATTCACCATTTGATCCTTCCCTCGTGGTTTAGAAGGAATTTTCAATTTCATCCTGCATTACTGAGCTCTGTGATTGGTCCAGAATACTTACGTCACTTTCTAAACCAATAAATAAAGGTGATTGGTTTATCAATTGGTAACCAATCGCAGCTACAGGTTTTCCCGCATTTGAGGTTGGTCAAACGTTTTTTTCCCGCACTTCATATCTGTTTTCACTCCCAGCACTTACTTATTCAAAGCAATTATTGCTGCAATATCTTGCTCGTTTTCTGCTTGACTTGTTCCTAAATACTGCCACGCCTGCAAACAAGAGGGAAATTTCAGTACACAGTATATACCAGGGGACAGCTTGAACCAAACTAGATCAGCACTATTCCTGGATTATAATGGTCAATTCTGCATTGGTGCAAAACGTGCCTTTAGCAGCTCCGCCAGCTTGACTTAAAATGGCACACTCAACAAAGGATGACCATTGATCTTTCGAGTCAGGTGCAACCTGCTTACGTTGATGGATATTTTTTGGGAGTTTCAAAGCAGGTTAAATTCAGTCTT